CCGTCGTATTATCACTGTGGCTGGAGGGTGCCATGTTAGAAAGTCTTCTCCTGTTATGTGGTCACCCTCCACCTGCTGGGATCCTTCTCCAGGCCATCAACGCTCGGTGACCACCCCCAAGTGGTCTCCCTCCAACCCACCTCCACCTCACAGCAGTCATCTTTCTAGAGCATCCGTCTCATCCAATCACTTCCCTGCCTTAGAAACTCCTCAGGATTCCCCAGTGCCTGGAGGATGATGACCAAAGCCTTGGCTGAGGTTGTAGACCCTTTGAGATGTTCCCCAGTGTTTTTTTTTCCCACGTGTGGACTCCCTGTCCGCACCCCCTCCCGCCCCCCAGGCTTTGGCCAACAAGCACCATGCTTCCCCATGTTGCCACTGGGAATGCCCTTCTCTCTCTTTCCTGTCCAGCAAACTCCTACTCATCCTTCAATGGCCCACTCATTTGTTCTCTCTGTTTTGTCCTGCTCTCCCCAGCAAACTCTGTCAGAGAGAGTGGCTTCTTCCGCTCTGTCCGCAGAGCCCTCTGGAGCACTGTGTCAGTCACACAAAAAGTAGAGGTTGTGAGCTTGGCTAGCACGTGGGACAAAACCCAGACATGGTCAATGTTACTTTCGAAAATCCCTCAGGAGAATTCTCTGGCATGCCTTGAGAAGTGAGAGGAAGCAAGGAGCCTAGGAGTGTGGGTAGAATGCCTTTTTTTTTTTTTTTAATTTTGTTTAGCAAGCAGGAGCATGGGGAAGCAAGAGATATTCGTATTTGCTTGTGTTTGCATCAGAGGAATGATACTGTTTACCTGGGGAGCAGGAAGAGCGAGGGGAGAGGGCAGATGGGTGAGTAACAAGATTTTGATGCTCTGCATTCGTATGTTGTTTGGAGTTTTGAACCACAGGACTGTTTACTATTTATAAGAAAGAAGAGGAAAGGAGGAGAAAAAGAAAGAGGGAGGAAGGAAGGAAAGGAGCGAGGGAGGGAGGGAAAGAAAAAGCAAGCTCCTTTAGGAGGGCTCCCGTATCTGAGCCTGTCCTGCATGCCTCCACCCGAGACATCTCTCCCTCCAGTGTTGGATCACCCAGATGAAGTGACGGGTTCATGCTCAGGCCCACCGTGTATGAAAAAGTTTAGCCGTTAGTGACTGCAGTGGCAAGATGCCCAGGCGGTGCATAGTTCTCAGGGTCTAAGAGAGGGCCCCCCAGCTCCCACTTCCCTCCTCCCTCCGGTGTTTGTTCACCGAGGGGGACTGTGGGCTCCACTGTTCCTTTTCTTTCTCTTTTGCTGCTGAGCAGATACACTGAAGTGTATGTGGGTTAAATGTGCTCCCACTGTGCAGTGCAGTGGTTTCACATGGGGCTTTGGAGTTAGGTAGATTTAATAGCCGAGTCGTCCTACCTGCCAAGCTGTGTGGCTTCTGGCTTGTCACATAGCCTCTCTGGATGTCATTTCTTTATTTATAGATTAGGGAGGACAGTACCTTCTGCGAGAGCTCTTATGAGGTTATGTGAAATGTCATATGCCTGGCACATAGCAAATGCCGCTCACCACCACCACTGTACGGCGGGTACCGCAGTTGCTGGCATCTGTGTGTGTTTCCCCACGTGAAGGGTTCCAGAGCCAGCATAGAGCATGGTTCCGTAGAGGTGCCCAGAGAGTGAGTTAGTCTCCATCCCTGAGCCTGGAATCCCTATACCCAGCAGGTGCCTGTGCTGTCCGTGGAAAGACAGGCTGGTGACTCCAATCTCAGAGTTAGGCTGGGGCTCTGGCTGTGTCCAGCAGTGTGGCTCCAGTGGGCACAGGGACAGGAACAGGTTTCCACTGGAAGCGCCACGGTTAATGCTCAGACTCTGAAGCTAGACAGCACGTAAAAGGTGCTGCTTTTTAGCTTGGCAACTTGGGCGTTTTACTTAACCTCTCCGAGCCTCCGTTTTCTTACTTACACAATAGAGCCGGTATGAGAACTGACTGTCCTCAGCCTCTTCTCTTATCAGGCTGGACCACCCTTTACCCTGTGAGCTACCTGGTTTCTTGCGCTGTTTTTGCTCATGCCATCCCATCGACTTGGAATGCCCTTTCCTCTCTGCTCCTAGATAGCAAACTCCTACTCATCCTTTACAACCCAACTCAGGCATCACTGCCCCCCGCCCCCAAAAAGGTCTTTCCGGGTGGCCTCCCTCCAGCTGGGTCAGGGGCTCTCCTGGGCTGTGTTCATTCCCTCACTGGCTTGCAGAGCCATAAAGTTCCCGCAGTGCCTCCGTGCTCAGATGCAGCCCCTCCCCGCATATCGATGTTTCTGAAATCAATTCAGCTGCCACATCTTTTTAACATCTTGGTGTTTCCTCTCCCAGATCCTGGAGGCTAATTCTAATGCCTGGTTAAGAGTGGAGGGTGAGCGCCCCTGCTTATGTTTGGGACTTCCCTGCCAGGCTCCCGTTCCCTCCCTCCTTCGGATCAAAGCCGGATGTCCTTGATCTCTGCCTCTCCACCTCCAGCACCGAGTCTGGTTCCATAAGCAATGGCTGAGGGCCCTGGAAGGCATAGAGATGGCCGGGAAAGGCACTGTCTGTGCGCAGCCCCCGTCAGCCATCGTGGGAGACCGACTCTGGACAGCAGCGGTCAGAAACCCCCCCTGACTTGTGTGATCCTGGTGTCGCCAGGCTGCAAGGGGGCAAGGGAGACACGTGTCAGTGTGTCCCAATTTCTCTCAGACTGGTGTGTGTGTGGGTGGAGAGGGGGCCCGGGATGGGGAGGTGGTTCGAGTGAGAGATGAGAGCGAGCTCAGAGAGTGTCACCATCTCCCTGTCTGAGCCCCCGGGGGCCGGGGGAGGAGGGGGAGGGCTGAATTGCGACTCGGCTATTAACTCTGAGTGACCCTGGACAAGTCCTTTGCCCCCTCCCCCCCAGAGGCTCAGCGTCCTCATCTGGCGATGAGAGCTGGGACAAGATGCTCCCCGAGCTTCCGCCAGCACCAGTGTATGGAGACCCCCGGGGATCGCTGGCTGTCCTCCCTTCTCCTCCCTTTTCTCCCTCCCAAGATCTCTCCCGCCTCTACTGAGAGAGAGCACTTATTGCTAAGCCTCTAACCCTTGCAGCCACTGCGTGGTGTGTGCTACCTCTGTGCCCGCCTCGCAGACGAGCCCCACAGCAAAGGCTCAGAGATGTCCAGGGGCTTGCCAATGGCCACACAGGGAGGAGACAGGATTTGAACCCAGGGTGTCGGACAAAAAAGGCTTGCACAAACCACCCCGGGCCTCTGTCCCGGCCCACCCCAGCCCTGGCTCCTCCCCTAGGAATCCCCCCTGCTAGCTGGGAAGGGTGCAGAGGGCCCGAAGGGGGCCGTCACCAGCAACCACATCCTGTGACGGTTGCCCTGGGGAGTGCTAGCTTGAGTCTCCACCTCTGGGACAGGTGAACCGAAAATAGGCCCTACTCAGCCCCGCAGGGCAGGATCCACAGTCCAGCCTCCTCCAATACCTGCCTGATCTGAGGAACCCTGCGCCCCAGCCCTTACCCAGAAGGCAGAGCTGGCCATTGGCCCTGGCAGCTGGGTGAAAATCCCAGCCTCTGAGCAGATGGGAGGACACAACCACAACCCCTCCCCACTGTATGTCCACCAGCCTCATCTCCAGCCCTTCCCTCCCGGCCTGGAGCCAATTCTTCACCAGGCGGCTCTGAGCATAAAATCCCCCCGCGTTGCCCTTCCTCCGAAACTCTTGGAGCCACTGAGCCAGGGCCTGAGTGGGGCCTAGAAGAGAGGGAAGTGGGCCGCTAAGCTCACAGGCATGTCTGGGTCCACCTTCTCTGGGAGGGCAGGCCCTGTTTCCCTGTTCCTGTGTCCCCAGCATTTTTCATGGCGCTGGGCCACGGGAGGTTTCCAGGTCCCCAACATTTCCACCTTGATGGATAGAGCTGCCCCCACCCAACACACACACACACACACACACACACACAGAGGCTGGGCACTGTAAAAGCTCAAGGACTTGTCACTCTACGCCCCGATTTTATTCAGCAATTACTTTAATCTCAGGACACTCAGACCAGGACACCAGTAGCTGGCTCCGAGTCCTCGGGCCTCTCTCTGGAGGCCGCCTGGACGTGTCCATGGCTCCGGGTGACATGCCGCATATTCATGTGCTCCTCAGGGAAGCTCCCAGCAATCCAAGCAGACGGATGGGTGCACAGGACTTAGTGCAGCCCCTGGGCCCCTCCCGGCAGACATCTCTGTGCACACGTCTGCTCCCACGGGGCCTGGGGCCCGACTCTGAGTCTTTGGGGGAGCTGGGCTAGGGCCATCTTTGTAAGCCATAGGAAGCTCAGAATAAGGATCTTCTGTCCAGGGACAGTTCCTGCAGAACAGGGCTGTGCCCTGGTGGGCCCCAGGGTCTGTAGAGGCAGGGCTGGCCGAGGCCCCAGCCCCTTGGTCGTGGGGGAGGGGCAGTCGTCCGGCTTGCTGTCAGCTGGCTGTTCCTAGGAAGGCGGACTCTGTGCCCAGGTGGTCACCAACCTGGGTCGGTGGGTGTGTCACCCCAGCCCTAGAATCCACCTGTCAAAGCCAGGGTAGCCCAGCAGTCCCTACACGTGGGCAGCACTGGGATGGGATCCCTTTCTGTTCTCTCAGTACCTCCGGGCCCTGAGCTGTTTGAGACTCAGGGAACCAAAGCACAGAAGGGGCCTCAGGAGGCATTCCGTTCAACCCCTCCTTGCAGCCTGCTGAAACGTGGCCCAGGCTGCTTGCCCATCCCTGAGACAGAGAGCTCACTACCTCTCAGAGGCAGGGCCCTCCACCTTGGGGCTGTTTGGGGCCGAGGGAGGGCTGTGCCAGTAGCTTCTCTTTGAAGGATGGAGACTGAGCGGTGAGTGCAGGGTGAGGGCTTTCCCTGCATCTCTCCAGGGAAGGCCTGTCAGCTGCCTGGGGGAGGATGTGGGAGGGCGGGGTGAGAGAGCAGTGGGCAGGGAGAGCAGGAGACCAGCAGAAGGGAGCCACCTGGGGCCTCGCTGGGCCCAGCCTAGGCTGCTCCGATGTCATCGTAGTCCTCGCTGTCAAGGGAATCAGGCTGCTGGGTGAGGGACCCTGTGTGGTGGGAGGCTCGGGTCAGCGGGAGGCTGGTCACCGCCCCTCCTGCCCCATGGGACACACCCCTCCCCTGTGATGCTGTGTGGGGTGCAGTGACCAGACTCCCTTCATGTCATCTTGTTCACTACCATCGCCCTTGCTAGAATGTCAGCCCAGAAGGCAGAGCCTCATCTGCGCAGTTTAGGGCTGTAGTCTCCACGCTTGCACAGGAAATTACGGGCGACTTGACTGTCGGCAACCCCCCTGCTACCACAGTCTCCCCCAAGGGGACATTGGCTACCTCTGCTTGAATGCCTCCACTAATGGGGAGCTCACTCTCTCTCGAGGCATTCTTTGGAACTTTCTCTGTCCCATCTGCATCCATTTTTCCCACCTCCTCATATTCTTGTTTGTTTAAAAAAATCCCTTTCCTTCTCTTCTTTTCCTCTTGGGCTAATGAATCCAATGGATCCAGAGTTCCCCCACCCATCCACCCCCTGCTTCCTGTCCTTCCCCCGCTTCCAGGACTACCTCCCCTGCCACTGGCACCTGGACACTCAAACTGCTCCGTCGAGGGGGGCTGGGGCGGCGGCTGGAAGTTCTGGTACCACTCCCCGGATGAGGTGCTGGAGCTGTCATCGGCCGAGGGCCCTGCTGGAAACGCCCAGAGCCAATCACTCTCTGCCTGGAGACAGCCAGCTTGAGAGATGCCAGAGCTGGGAGGCCCTCATGACTCACGAGAGTCAAGTTCCTGGCTTGACCATGAGTGAGGAAATGAAGGCCCAGAGAGGGGTGGAGACTTGTCCCAGGTTACACAGCAAGTGGCCACAGAGCTGGGGCTAGAATCCTGAACTCAGCTTGGCTCAGGGCTTCTGGCTTTATGCTTCCCCCAGCCAGGTCGGCTGTAGGATGGGAGTCTGGGACACACACAGAATCCTCCTGGGCCCTGCTTACCTGAAAAAGTACCTTGGGAGCCAGCCAGCTCCAAGTTCGGGGGCTGCTCCAAGAGGGGGCTCCTCTCTGTAGAAAACACCTGAGGGGTCCACGGAGGTAGCCTGCTTCTGGGGCTATTGCAGTAATTTTCCCCAGAGGAGGTGCTGGACCCACTGTTGCTCCTGGGGTGGTTCTGAGAGCCCAGGGAGGGGGCGTCCGCCGTGTAGTGTCCAGCGCTGACAGGTGGGACCTGGGAAGCATGCATCTCTTCAAGTCCTGGCCCAGGAAAGGGGGTACAGTGAGGAAAGAAGCAGCAATGCACCCAGAGGGCTTTAAATGAGACTCAAGAAAGAACTAACTGCCAAGAGGAACTGTTAAAATCAGGAAGGACCTGTTGAGGGGGGTTGCTGCCCGCATTTCTCAGGGTGGGCTCAGTTGCTAAGTCTGGAGTCAGGGCTGATATCGTTACACTGCCACCACACGCCTCCCCAGCCTGACTCACCTTCCTCCAGGGGGAGCATCTGGAACCTGTTCTGCTGGACCTCCTCACCTTCCTCCAGGGGGGGCATCTGGAACCTGTTCTGCTGGGCCTCCTCCTCCGTGACGCGGTGCCGCTGAGAATCTACAAGCAGAGCAGTGGTGAGGAGGGGTGTAGGCCCACCTCCTCATCCCGGGAGCCCAGAGGAAGGGCCGCTGTGCCTTGGGACTTGGGAGGGTGCCCTGAGGCCGAACAGTGTGGGAGGACCCCCCAGGGGTACGAAGGGGCTTAGCATTTCCCATCAGATCCCAGGTGCTTGTCCGAGTCCAGCCAGACCCTGAGCCTCACTCTCTAACCAGCACGGGATCAGGCTGCTTCTGGCCAGAAGCCCTAGGGCCTTGCACCTCGCTGCTCCCCAGCCGCCCCTCCTTCTGCTTAAGGAAATGGGGCAAGTCCTGGGCTCTCTCCTTGCCCCCTGGAGGTTCTGGGCAGATGGTGCCCTGTCTAGGAACCTTCTCAGAGAGGAAGCTGGAAGGTCTGGAATCCTTGCCTCGCAGGCTTTGGGGCACCTTCGCTTTGGAACTGGAGAGATGATGTGGATTTGTTGAGTCTTAAGGACTTGAGTGTCTTAGATCATGGAGTCTGCTCTCTCGAACCTGGTACCACTGAATCTGAGTCACAAAATGTCGTAGGGTTTTGGACTCTCAGTCCTGCCTCTTACAGGCCTGGGTGCAGAATCTCAGGTTCTAGGGATGCCCCATCCCGTTGGCTCCCAATTCTGGTGTGTGGCATGGCAGAAGTGGAATCTCCCGTCTCCCACCCCAGAGGGCCTGGGTCAGCAGGTGCGGCACAGACGGCTAGCTGTCCCCCACATCCATTCTTCCCTCCTGGAGTAGGAGACCCTCTGGCCTTTATCTGGACACACAGCTGCTCAGGACAGAGGCTTCGTCTGCCAGCCTCTCTTGCAGCTGGTGGGCTTAAGTTCTGGCTGGGGTGTGTGTGTGTGTGTGTGTGTGTGTGTGTGACTGTGAGTGGGAGTGATGTGGGTGTCTCTGGCATCCTGCCTTTCAGGGTACCGCCTGCCCCACTTTCCCTTCCCCTCCTGCTGCCCAGGATGTGGGCATGGTAGTGAGCCAGGCTGGACCATGCGGACGAGGGCAACATCTTAGGGACTGCACAGCAACAAGAAAGCAGCATCCTGGGCCCCTGCCAACTGCTCAGGACACCGTCGTTTGGGGGCCTCAGTCACACACAGTCAAACTCTCATCCTAACTTACATGGTGGGTCCTGTGGGGAGCTGGGAGTGTTTGACAAGCTCCTAAGGGAGTCCACCATAGGTGTGGGATTCTCTGGCCTAACCTCCAGTCTTGTGTGGGCCCTGCCTTAAGCACTGTCTTCCCCCCTCCAATCCGCAGCAGGCAGGGAGGGGAGCTGGAAAAGCCGGCTAAGAGGTTCAAGCTGGGCTCGCCATGAAGGGAGGAAAAGGGATGAGGTGGATGGGCAGGATGGGACACAGAAGGGGTGTGAGCATGTGAGAAGCCAGCCGAGCTCGTCTCTTGCCTGGACTTCCTTGTCTAATACACACACCTTTAGGTGAAGGTCGAGGGGCGGGTCTTAAGACCCCACGCGGCCAGAGACAAAGGTGGGAAAGAAGGAGGCTGGAGACATGGAGTTGTCTCTAGGGTCACAAAGCACTTTGAAAGCTTCAGTCCAGTGGGTGTGCAGGGGCGATCAGGTGGAACCCACTGAAGCTCCCCAGCCACCCGGGGCCCTCTCCCTGGTTGGGACAGGTGGGCCCCCGGGGAGCCCAGGCCCAGGCACTCACTGTAGAAGGTGGTCAGGGCCACGGGAGGCTGGGCGCTGAAGTCATAGTGCTCATAGTCTGAGTCCGAGCTGGAGTCCGAGTCCTTGGGGAGTGGGGCCTGGACCTGGATGGGCAGCTTGGGAACTGGGGAGAGAGCAGAGTTGGGGCGTGGCCAGATGGTGGGCAGAAAGGCAGCAGAGAGTGTGGAGGGTGGGGACCAGAGCAGAGGGGCAGGGAGAGCACCAGGTAGCCCGTCTTGTACAAGACCATCCAGCCTGGGTTTTCCAAGCTCCCCCCACCCATTTCAAACATGGGGACGTAATAACACTTGTTTATTTCACAAACACAGAGCAGTCACCGCATGCCCGGCGCTGTTCCGACATTTAAATAAATGATCTCATTGGGATTCTCATAGCGACTCTGTGAGGTAGGTACATCTGTGTCCCCATTTTACAGCTGAAGGAACTAAGGCACAGGGAGGTCCTCACCTTGCCCAGAGAAGCAGGCAGTGTGGCTCTTAACCCCTAGCCGGTAATAGTCAGTGAGCAAATGCCCTGAGCCTAACCTGTGGGCTAGGTTCTGTATTCGTATTCTTCCCTTGAACACATGGATTCCGTGCACGGGGAATATTTATATTATTTGGCTGAGATTTGTATTGATCTTCCTGTCATTGAATGCTTTCAAATAAGGGTGATTTAATACAGTCCCAACGCAATGTGATTAAGCTTGAGTTCCTTTACAAGACTTTCAAGGAGTATAAACCCATATGTTGTAAAAGATGGATGACCGATTTCCATTTTTCTTTCATTCAGAAAATACTAAATAAAATTATGTTCCAGGAAAATCTTGATGGGGCTCTGCAGGAAGGCTGATGGAGCAGACCATTGGAAGAGGCCATAATGTCCCAAACCTACCAACCAAGTAGCAGGGCAGAACTGTCCTCTGAGAAATGTGCTGAGCCTGTCTTATTCCAGAACTCGAAAGCCTAGCCTAGAATGACTACCCTGGAAGGTCATCTGCCCATCAGGGCCCAGATTGAGACATGACATGCCCAAGGTCCCACAGGCCCCAATGGGCTCGCTGAGGTCTCCTCTCCAGTGGGGGCACTGCTTTGACCTAAGCAGTACTGACCCTCCAGAAAGGATATCCTTCCTGTCCTCCCCAGCCCTCCCTACCCCCAGGGTAGGTGACATCCTACCTTCTTTGGGAATGGTGATGGGAACATCATGATAGTTATTGATCCCTTCTTGGGTGGTGGCGAGTAGGTGCTGGTTGTTCACCATCACAGGGAGGGCTGAGGGAGGGGAGGCAGAGATTCTACAAGTCATTTTTTGCTCTCTCCCAGTCTACTGGGTCCTATTCTCACTGAAACACCTTCCTCCTCAAACACACACACGCGTACACATAGAGTCTGGTCGGTCCTTCCATACACGGACGACTTCCGCTGGGCATGCTGGGAAAATCCTTCCCATTGGGAGGTGCCCCCCGGGGCCAGGGCTGGGTGGCCATTGCTGGATCACTGCCACTCCTGCTGGAGTCCCACAAGGCCCACATCCCCCTGAGAGGGTCATGCCTCAGGCCTGCTTCTTTCCCTCTCTGAGCCTTTCCTGTGGCTCCCAGAACTCTGTACCCACCGTATTTTCCTTTAACTTTCAGGAGGATGAAGGCTATGAAGATGAGTAAGCCAAGGAGGAGAATCCCCAGAACGATGCAGAAGATGAGGAGCATTAGTTCCCGTGATTTCCAGTCCTCCGTTTTCATGGTCACAGAAGATTCTAGAAGCAAGAACCCCAAGTCAAGGAGACAGAGGAATGGACATAGACTTCTCCTGGCCCTTCTTGCCTCTCCAGCCTCTTTGCGCTCACCCACTTCCCTTTTGGACCTACCCTCCTCCCCTCTTCTTTTTTTCGAATTTACCCATTTGCTTTTAGGTGCCTTGTATTTAGTAGGTGCTCAAGAAATGCATATTGAATGAATAACTGACTGAAGGAAACTTTCCCCTGGCCACCAGCCCACAGGGATCTGTCTCTCTGCTCAGTAATTACTGAGTGCCCACTGTGTGCCCACTAAGCCCTAGGGATACAAATATGACTTCAGCATCACAGGCCTTGAGGGCGCTGTCTCGTGGAGAGATCCATACGTTGGCTCAATCCAATATGGTGCCATGCTTGCTGGGATGGAGGTATGGGCAGGCATGAGGCCCTGCAAGGGGCACCTAATTCTCTGGGGCGGAAGATCAAGGCTGGCTTCCCAGAGAAGGTGACTTGGAGCCACCTCTGGCAGCAAACAGGCCATCAGGAGAGCAAGATCTCCTTTCTGTGTCCTGGATGCATCCTTCCAACCAGACATGCATTCCCTGAGGGTAGGGGTGAGGGCCGTGATTTTGGACCTCCCAGCCCTGTAGCCCTGGTGTGGCTTACCGTCTTCTCTCTTGGCCCCACCCCTGCTTAAAAGAACCCAAAACCTGGATAGAGGCTGAAGTGGGGCAGGTGCTGGGAGCCCTCGTCAGGGGGGAGACGGGAACCACCTCCTGCTCAGTGTATAAGGCCTGGGGTGCATCGGCCACAGGGCTGGATGAAGGGCAGTGACAGCTTTACAGGGGGCGGAGGGATGTGACCATCCTGATCCCCTGGCTGGGGATAGTGTCTGCTCCCCACCCCCAGAGATGACCCCTTCCCTGTTCCCATTTTCTTCCCTCCCCTCCATCTGCAAAGGGGGTGACTTGGACCAGCCTGGGGATTGCACTTAGCAGCAGGAAGTGGGTGCAAGAGCGAGGCTGGGCTGTGGGGGGTACGGGGAGACCAGTGAATTCGGGCCCAGAGGGACAGGGGCTGAGGACCGGGTTGTTGGGCCAAGGGCTAGAGTGTGGTCCTGGGAGGTGGGCTCCCCGCCCTGACCTCAGAGAGAGAGAGAGAGAGAGAGAGAGAGTGTGCGAGTGGGTGTCGGGCCAGGGTCCTGGCTGGAGCTCACCAGCATTTCATTCCCTCTCCGCGCCCTCCATGCCCTCATCCACAGCCAGGTTCTCTGTCAAGACTTGGTGCCCCTCCACTCCATCCCCAAGCCCCTGCCCACCCTCCTCTGGTGGAAGCAGGGGACGGCCTAGAGCCCGTGAACCTGGGCCAGCCCCTGTGGCTACCCTGGGGTCGCCAAGGGGCTCCACGCCTGGACTCAATAATCACGAGAATAACTAACACTCAGACACTGCTCACTGCGGACTCCGCCCTGTTCCAAGGGCTTTAGAAAAATGAACTCACTGGAGACTCACAGCAGCGCTAGGAGAAAGTTACCATGATTATCTCCCCCATTTTACAGCCAAGGGGTCTGAGGCTCAGAGAGGTTCAGACTTGCCCACCATTCACAGCTAGGGGGAGGCACAGCTGGGATCTGAGCCTCGGGAGTCTTCCTGGAGTCAGCCAAACGATCCATAGCTGGCAGGCAGAGGAGCACGGCTCAGAGCCTTGGGTGCACACTCCAGCCAACGCTGGCTGGCCGTGCCTTCACCCTCTGAGCCTGAGCTTCTTTCTCTGTGTAAGGACTCTAAGGAGACCTCCCCCCATGGGGACACCGGGAGGCTTACAGGGCCAGGAAAGAGTGTCGGTAGAGCTCTGGGCCAGTGCCCGGGGTGTGAGAAACACACTGTCACCCTTGGCACACCTACAACTGGCCAGAGGCCAACCAGACCAGTGCGGGCTCTCTCCAGCTGTATCCTCCTGCACGACAGGAGCTGACAGGAGAGTGGGCTCCTGTCCATGAAGTACCAGGATTCTGGGAGCTGGGGAGCTGACATGGCAGGGAGGGGAGGGGAGAGGAGCAAAAGCACCCCCAGAACAGAGCGGTGGGGTGGGGTGGGGGTGGAGGGAGAGGCAAGTGCATTGTCTGGAGGTGGGGGATGGGGGATGAACCATCAGGCCAGTCCCAGGTGCACACATGCGTTCACGCAGGTATGCACCTGCACACGGGCACCCACCTCTCTGAGAAACCGTGAACCAAGTGACACTCACCTACAGTGACTGGCTGAACACTTGCAGGGACTTCAGGAGTGGACAGATTGAGCAGACTCCGGGAGCCTGTCAGAAAACACCATTCATGCCCTCAACACATTACTGAGCACCTACTCTGTGCCAGTCCTTGGGTTAGACACTGAACAAGCAGACAAGTAACCTGTAGCAAGGGGCGTGGTCCCATGGGAAGCGGCGCGGGGCGGGGGGGCATACGGTTAAGGAAACCTACCTTTTCCACCCCCCATAATAAGGAAGATCTCATGGATCTTCTTTGGTTAGATTAAGAGGCTAATAAAAAGAAGTATCTCTTCTTTCTATAAAAATCTGCTACAGACCACAGATCCCTTTCTCTGTTAAGTCTTGGGTTCACTCTGGGCACCTGGGTGGCTCAGTCGTTAAGCGTCTGCCTTCTGCCCAGGTCATGATCCCAGGGTCCTGGGATCAAGCCCCGCATTGGGCTCCCTGCTCAGCAGGAAGCCTGCTTCTCCCTCTCCCACTGCCCCTGCTTGTGCTCTCTCTCTCTTTCTCTCTCTTTGTCAAATAAATAAATACAATCTTAAAAAAAAAAGTCTTGGGTTCACTCTTTACATTGGCCTTGGGAGCTGGGAAGCTGACATGATGATCATTATCATAATCATTTGACAGGTAAGGGATGGAGCTTACAAAGCCCCTTGGTGGGTATTATCTGATTTCCCAGCTACCCTGTGAAGTGGCTAGGATCAGCATCCACATATTCGTGGAACTGAAGCCTCCCAGTGGGTGAGCCCCAGAGCTGGAGTTCATTGCCAGGTGCCTGAACTCCATAGGGATATTAATACCATGTTTCTTTGGGTCTAATGCTCTGGCTTTTTCACATTTTAACTCCTCTGAAATTGGGGTGATGGCATCAATTGCTACAATTGATGACATGTTGTGAGCTTATTTTGGCAGCAGTTTCGTCCTTTATGGGACATAAAATAATAATAGGGTAACATATCAATGCCACCTGGGATTTGGTGAAATATGGCAGAATCCAATTCATAGCGTGGACATGAGGCTTAGCTGAAAAAAAGAGGTATCAGGTGCTCCCCAGTGCCTGCCACATGATCGGGGCTCCAGACCCTGTCTCCCAATATTATTTCGCTATGACCACCTATGATCACTGGTTTCATCTCCTGAGCCAATTCCAGGCAACAGGGATCCCTGCTTTGCATATAATAAGGCCTTAATACATACGTGGGGGCTGAGTCGAGGCTCTGTGGGCAAGAATGCCCTGATTAATTAGCCCTGTCTTCCCGGACATGGTAAGTGACTAATGCCAGCAATTGTCATCCCTGACCTAGTCCAAGTTCTTAGGCTTCGGATTCAGGTGGAATTCCTGGTGCAAATCTGGGGGAGAGGGTGAGGTAGGGGTGGGGAGGAGGGATACCTGAGCAGAGAACTTGGGCTGCGCTCGACTGGCTGCAGAGGTTGGAGTTGTTGAACCGCCAGGCGCAGTCCGAGAGGGTGGGCTCCTCTCCTGTGCACGAGTAGTACATTCTGCCCGGCAGGGAGTGGGGCAGCCCGCTCGGTATTCCGACCATGGTCCCACAGCCCAAGGCCCGGCAGAGCACATGGGCCTCTGGCGCATACCACTCACTGTTGCACACTGTGCTCCAGACCCCACGGAAATGGACCTCCACCTGCCCCTCGCAGGGGTCATGGCCCCCAGTCAGGCGCCAGGACTGGTGCTCTGCAGGGGAGAGGTGGGGCACGGGGGCAGAGTCAGATCAGGATCCTTTGGGCTGAAACCCCCACCAGACCAGACTCAGGAATGCAAACACCTACGGCCAATCGGCCTCCAGATCCTGTGTGCTTTCCCTCCTATGTCTGCATCCCCCTCTCATCTGCTCCATCTGCTCGGGCTGGCACTGCATGCCTGCTACTCAAACTGTGGTCTGCGGACCTGCAGCATCAGCTTGGCATGGAATCTCGTTACAAATGCAGAATCTCAGGCTCTGCCCAGACCTACTGAATCAGAATCTATCTTTATCGAGAATCCCCCCCCCCCCATTCCTGTGCACATTAAAGAGAAGCCCTGGCTAGACCAGAACTTCATGGCCTCCTCCGGACTGCTGACCACCTCCTCAGGGGCCTCCCTGCCTCTGTCTCTCCTCGCTGCTCTGAACCAGGTGACCAACTCACACTGGGGAAGAGTCTCCCCTCTAATGTGGTTTCCTCCAAGAGGTGGGCAGGCTTGTCCCTCCCCCTCTGGATTGCCCCCTACCTCTAAACTCCTTTCCTAGGGCATTTATCACTCTCTCCCCCAGATGGCGCTTGCCTGGGTCTTCCCTTCCCTGGTGGGCTTGACCTCGCCCCAGCCGGGGCCATCCCTCCCCGCACCCGGCCACGGCAAGGGCTGGTGGCTGACCGATACCCCCGCCGCCTGCTGACCTGAGCACACCACACCGGCGTCCTCCTTGTGGCCGCAGTACCCGTCTCCAGGCCGCCCCGGGCAGTCCCACAGGTAGGGCTCGTCCCCTGAGCAGTTCACCTGGTCCCGGTGGATGGGTCCTTGGCCAGGGGCGAAGTGCAAGCCGGGTAGGGCCTGAACCGCCCAGCCGCAGTTCAGTTGCCGGCACACCACGTGCGAATCCTCCAGGTCCCACGTGTCGTCGCACACCGAACCCCACCGGCCCTGCTCTAGCATCTCCACGCGGCCTGCGCACTGACTGCTACTGCCCACCAACCGCACGGCGCGGTTCTCTGGGGAAGGAGGGGAAAGCGTTGGTGGGTGGTCGAGGAAGGGAGGGCTGGGAGGGTGGTGGTGGCTGTGGATCCAATGAGAGGAGCTGGTAATTCGGTGGGCAGGATTGGGGAACCCTGTTAGGACTGGGGCCCTAGTGGGCAGATGTGGGGGACCCCTCAGGACTAGGGACCTGCAGGCAGGACTGGACACCCGAGGGGGAGGGGGCGGGCTATGGAGCCGGTGGGAGGGGCTAGTAACCTGGTGGGCGGGCCAGGGGAAGCCTCAGGGCTGCGGTGGGGGGGTGGGGGGCGGGGGGGGGAGGACTGGAGGGGAGAGCTGCAGACTGGTGGGTGGGGCTAGAGACCTGGTGGGCGGGGCCTGAAGAGCAGGTGGGGGCTGGAAAGTGACAATGCTAAGGGACACTGGGGAACCTGGCATATTTATGTACATGGGGGATAGGGGCAGAGATAGAGGTCCTAAGCGAGAGAAGGCGCGGGACGCGTAAGCAAGGGCCAGAGACCCAGTTAGGATTGGGGACCCAAGTGGTCAAACTGGAGATCTAGTAGGGGGAGAGGTCTGGGGGCCAGATCAGAGGATGTGCTCAGAGCTGGAACCGAGGCAGCGCTGCAGTCCTCCAGCGTGGGAACCAGCTGTGTTTGCGATGGGGGTGGGGTGGAGGGCTGGGGTGAAGTCTGGAGGGTAAGGCTTGGGTCCGGTGGCGAGGACTGGGGACAGGAGTGAGGGGCAATGGCTGAAAGCCTGAGGGTAGGGCAGGCAGGGCGCAGGGGGTGGTCTGCTCGTACCTGCACAGGTGACCTTGGCCGGCCTCCCGTTGCTGTCGCACACGTGCTCCACCACTTTGCAGAGTTGCCACTCGGCACTTCTGCACAGAACGGCGGGCGCCAGGGCCAGGGTGGCGTTCGTGGTCTCGCTGGTGTTCCTGGCGCCAGGCGCAGGCGTCAGCTCCAGGGATGGCAAGGTGAGCTGGGTGGCTTCCCAGGCCCCGCCGCAGCCCAGCGCGCCACACACGGCCTCGGAGGCCAGGCTGTCCCAGAGCGCCCCGCAGGCCGGCTCCCAGGACAGCCCGAGCCAGACCTCCACTGCCCCACTGCAGCGGCTGCTCCCGTTCACCAGACGGACCCCCAGCGGCTGTCCTGGAAGAGCCAGACGCCCGCTGAGGCCTCCACCCACCCCGCGGCAGGTCTCAGGGATGGGGGTGGGGATGAGGGCTGCCAGGGGGGCTCCACCGGGTTATCTTGGACAATATCCCACTGGGCCCTGGGCCTCAGCCTTCCAATCTGCAAAATGGGGCTGGGCTGGTTCATCCCCGAGGCCCCTTTGAGGCCTGACCTGGTTCTCCTTAGCGTCTGGAGAAGGGGGCTGAGGGCGACTGTAGAGGTTAGGGTGCCTTCATTAGGTGTGGGGTGACAGGACCAGGGGTCCAGTCCCCACAAACCTCCCGCTCTTGCCCCTTTCTCCAGGGTACCCTGGCATGAAAGAAGGGCAGAGTTCTGGGTTCGGGGGCCCTCCTTGGCACTGTGGGTGCCACGCTTCCCCCTCCTAGGCCCCTCTGCTGTTCTGGAGGGTGCCACCATGACCTCGAAACCCTGGGGGGTGGATACGGGGTTGGTGATGGGGTTGAAGCCAGGTTGCTTGGGACGGTGGTTCTCCCTTCCCCAGACACCCTCCTTGGGGAGCCACCTGCCCATTTTTGCCTGGGACTGTACCCCCAGGGTGGCACGCAGCTTTGCACAGAGGAGCTGCTTAATAAATACCTGTTGAGTTAATCAAGGACCCACTTGATGGAACCCCACCACCCCCACCAAGAGTCCTTTAGTTTGTTCTCAACAAATCCCCTTAAAATGCTCACTGAACATTTTTGCCCACAAGTATGTGACATTTGATCAGTGGCCTTTCGAAGACGGTAGTTCTAAGCTTTCAGAGTGGATGGAATGGTGGCCCTTCGGGCATTGAGCCAGGAAGAAGTGTTGTCTGAAGTTAGGGAGCCTCCCTGACACCCTAAAAGTCCATTTTCCTTCCCTATCACCCGGGATACCGCCTGCCTGGTGTCAGAAAGCAGGCTGTGGGCCCCCAGAAGGATTCTTTCCTCACCTGGCTCCAAGGGCAGGTTCTCTGCACTGCTGGTGTTGGGCTGGTCAGATGGAGCTGGAGTCGGGTGACCTGGAATCAACCAGCAGCAGCCGGTGGGTGAGCGAGCTCAGAGGTAGAGGCACAGAGGTGCCTTGAAGGTCAGGGGCCACTTTCTGGAGCTGGGGCTACATGGGGACTTTGAAACACCAAGGTCCTGGGCCTTGGGCAGAGTTGCCTCATTGAGGGTAGGGAAATTCTCAAGCTCTGTTGCTGCAGCATCTTCTGCTTCATCTTTGAATTGTACAAACGCACTCAGAAATCAAAGTAGAGCAGGGAGGAACAACTGTGGGCTTTGGGGCCAGACCTACTTACTGGGTGAGTGACTATGGATGGGTTACCAACCTCTCTTGGCCAGAGTCCCAATTTATTGGCCACAGCACCTAGGGGTTGTGTTGTGCTAAGAGGAGTCAATGTCTGTACCATACCTGACATACAGAAAAAGCTCAAAAATGGGAGTTATTGTTAGGAAAAACATTTTCGTTTGGAAAATCTGTTTGAGAAATTCATACCAGGGGTGCCTGGGTGGCTCAGATGGTTGTGTCTGCCTTCGGTTCAGGTCATGATCCCAGGGTCCTAGGATCGAGCCCCGCATTGGGCTCTCTGCTCCGCGGGGAGCCTGCTTCTCCCTCACACTCTCCCTCTGTGCTTTCTCTCTCAAATAAATAAATAAAATCTTAAAAGAAACAAACAAAGAAATTCCTACCAGACTTTAGGGTGATTGGTGCATCGTGGGGTGGGGCCATCCAACTGTAAAGCGCTTTCAGATACTGAAAAACTCACATTTGCCGAGAGCTGAACATATGTCAGCACTTATTATTCACATGCATTATTCTTTTTCCCTTCAACCACGCCAGGAGGTAGATATGAACATTCACTTTTTACAAACTCGGAAAGCGGGGCCCAAAGATAGAAATCCATCTCCTGTGCCAGGTGATGCCCCTTCATCCCTCCAGAGCCACTGTCTGCTCGGCCCTGATGGGCTGATTTGTTTGGACTAAATCACAACTTCCTGGGCTCTTCTGCTTCTGCCTGGCTCAGCCAATAGGGAGCCACAGCAGACATAGGAGGGAAGGAGGAGGGTGGAGAGGTGGTGCTTATTCTCCTTTTCTGTGAGCTCCCCCACCTGACGGTGATGCCTCCTCTCCTTGACTCTCTCCTCTGGTCTCACTGACCACTCCCTGCCCTTGCCTCCTTGGGCCCCGGGGTGGCAACAGCTCCTCGGCTTCCAGGTCTTGCTTACCTTGCCCTTTGTAAATAAGCCCCTTCAAATGCTCCTGTTTTGATAGTGCCACCCATTTCCTGTTGGGTCCCTGACTGACCCATGGCCTGAGGCCATCCAGCTCAGCAAGAAGCAGGACCTGGATTTGAACTGTCTGCCGGGAATCAGCTCCTTGCCCGGCGGGGATATTCCTGCTGGCAGAAGCACAAGGGAGGGCTGAGGCGGAGACTGTGGTGCCCCCAGAGGAGCTCTGCTGCACTCAGGGTCTCATACTCAGGCTGGGCCATTGCTGTCTGGAAGAAGGACGTGTGCTCGCTGATGGGCCAACATGGGTAAGATGCAGTGAGTGTCCTCCATCTCTTTTTTCGCTGTGGTGCCAGGATTTGAGGCCCCGATGCAACTGCAAGATGGAGGTGGATGCTGACCCCGCTAGAATTTTGTGTAAGAAGTGAACCCGTATTCCTGTTCAGATCCAGGTGCCCCCTCCCAAAATAAAACAAAAAACACCCCCACAAAACCAAAAAAAAAAAAAAAACCAAACCCAAAAAAGCCCCCAAACCTGAAAGTGAATCTTTAGTGGGTTAAACCGTGAAGATTTCAGCCTGTGCTTGTTACCGGAGCCCAGCCTGGCCTGGCCTGACTGCTAGGAGCTACAGACTCACATGGCTACTACACAGTCTCAGCCTCCCCTGGGCAGATACCGTGGACTCACACCCAGATGTGCACGCGCGCACACGCACGCCCACCCTCATCCTGCAGAACGGCTACAAGCATCCATCTGGGCCACTCCATCACTCAGACAGAAAGTCATCAGGCCTAGAATTGCCTGTCACCAACTCCCTGGTTGGCTGCCCAGCCTGACCCCCTGGCGGGGACTCAGAATTCAGAGCACAGACTCCATGGCGAATGTAATATTCAGGACAAGAATTCAGAGGCCCACAAATTAGGATGGCAGAATCCTGGTTCCCACAGCAACAGCCCCAATGTCCCTGGGAACCTATCCTACAGAAATAACCTGGATTACCCCATAGAGATTAGAGTACACCTGTCAGAACTGGAACATTCTAGATTCCTTTCTCCAACTGGGCCCCTTTCGAACTGTGTGACTCAGGCAGATCATTTAACTTCTCCTAGCCTCGGGCACTTGCTCAGCAAACTGGGAAAAATAGGAACCCCGTTGCAGCTCATCATGAGCACAAAATGAGAGGACTCTTCTTGCAGCCAGAACTTAGATTCGCTGCACGGTAGATGGTCTTCCCCTATGTCATTTCTCATAGTAAAAACATGACCCCCCCCCCGAAGCTGGAGACAACGGAATTGTCTAAAAGCAAGTGGGGGATTGGTTAGGAAGATCCACATTAAAAATGTTCGCAAAAAATATTCACAAAGAGGGGCGCCTGGGTGGCTCAGTCAGTTAAGCGTCTGCTTTCGGCTCAGGTCATGATCCCCAGGACCTGGGATCGAGCCCCGCATCGGGCTCCCTGCTCAGCGGGGAGCCTGCTTCTCCCTCTCCCTCTGCCCCCCCCGGATCGCGCGCTCTCTCTCTGACAAATAAATAAATACAATCTTTAAAAAATATATTCGCAAAGGGTTTTTAATGATGTGGGGAAAGCTATAAATATGGTCGTGCACTCCCCTCCAGCCCCCGCCCCCGCGTAGCCTGGTGTCAAGCTTCTAAAGGTCTCCCAGGACCCAGAAGGAGCCCAAGTTCGGTCCCCCATTCTTTCCTCTCCTCGAACCCTGGGACCTTTTTCCTCTGTGGCCCTGGCCACATACAATTACAGTGCTTTCGGTGATGAGCTGTTGACTCCCATCAGTCCCTCTGGATTCTCAGGGTCATGGGGACAGGGACTGTTTCTATTTTGTTCACTCCCATATCCCTGGCAACTGGCACAGTGCCTTGCCCAGAAGAGATGCTAAAAGGATATAAATAAATGAAATTCGATCTCTACTACAGAAGAAAGCATAGGAAAAATATAAACACTAGCAAGAAATATACCCATACAGGGAGTTTTGTAGTTTTCTCTCTCCTTTTGTTGCTCTAAATTTTTAACATCTTCTACAACAAAATAAAAATTAAAGGTCTCCAAAGAAACAAACAGGCCTTTTTTTCCTGGGGGAACACGTGGCTAGCTCACAGTACTAACAATGCGTTTTAAGCCAACTGTCCACGCATTCTGCTCTCCCGAGCCTGCGGAGAGGGCCGGGCACGATGTGGTCATGTCAGCCAGAGCCATCCTTACTCCTGGGGGTGAAATGAAGAGCCCATGTGCTCCGTGGGCCAAGGTATTTCCTCTGCTGTAAATGTCAACATCCCTGGGGGCAGAGTGGAGGGGTCACTGGGCTGAGCGTTAAGGAAGCGGGTCCCGGCTGATTTCTACCATTAGCTTTCTGTGTGATCCTGGCTGGGTCTTTTATACTCCCCGGACCTGTTTTCTCACTTGCAAGACAACAGGTTGATAGCTTTCTGGTCTCTTCTAGAACTTCCATTCTTCTGTTATAATTAGATAAATTATATAATGAAAGACAACATCTACTGAACACTCACTGTATGCCCCGTAGAAGATAACATTGTGCTTTATCCACTTGTAGTAGCTGTTTGAATCCTCACAACTACCCAATGAGGTGGGTACTATTAGAATCCTTGTGTCATTGCAGAGAAAACTGCAACACAGAGAAGTTAAGTAAGTCACCCAGGGTCACCCATCTGGTCAGTATTAGAGGCAAGACCAGAACCTGGGCAGTCTGGCTCTAGAAGCCACTCTTTTAAACCACTACATCGTACAACTTCCAACATCCTATCAAGATAGATGGGAAATCAGTCCCATACTCTCAATCTATCGTTTCAGGGGTAGGTTCATCATATGCAAAGAGTTCTTATGTATAAATGCAGCAGAGGAGTAGAAATCTGGACACGTCAGAGATCATTTTGTCCGAAATGGAGAATTATGTAGTGCTGTGCTGTCCAATATGGTTAAAATTTTCATTTTATTCAGTTCAATTCATTTAAATTTAATTTTAAAAAACTGGTATTCAATCCAGTCATTGGAAAATTTCAAAGAAATGTTCAAGCAACATAGACCTGCAAATCTACCTTTTCCTTAGTAAATTTTGTGAAATCTAAATACAGATTAAGTCCTGCTGATGAAACTTTAATGTCTGGATTGAGGTGGGCTTTAAGTGCCAAGCACAAACCGTATTTCAAAGACTTGGTAAGAAAAAAAAGCAACACCAAGAATGGAAAATAGGTAATTGTTAACTTTCTATATTGACAGCATGTTGAAATGATATTTTGGACATCTGGATTAAATAAAATATATCATTATGTTAATTTCATCTGTTCATTTTTACTTTTTAAAATGTGGCTCCTGGAAAATTTAAAATGACAAATGTGGTTCTCATCATATTTGTATCAGACAGCGTGGTATGGGGGAGAACGTGGGCCTCACACCCACGGGCTTGGACAGGAGTCCCAGCCCTGCCCTCGTTAACCATCAAGGAGTCATTTAGACATGTAAGCCTTATTCTCCCCTCCATAAGCTGGAGTTCATAGTGCTTCTCTCAGAAGGCTTTTTGTGAGCGAGTGTTTTGTAAACTGTTGGGACCATGCAGACGTGATTATTATTACTGCCCAGGCCTATGATCTCATTGAACCGATGCAAAATCTGAGGTCCCGGGGCAAGGAAGTGTACCCCAAAGCCCACAGCGAGTCAGACTCCCAGGACAGTGGTCTTTTTCTAATACTTGAGATGGATTAATTTAGTTTAATTCCCACAGCAAGCCCACAGAATGGGGAAACTGAGGCACAAGG